AAAAGACGTTTTCTAATATATGAGATGTCGTATTCAATGTTAATCAAATTTGTTAAGTATGATTTAGAAAAATATAATATAATGATCGAAAAAACGTTTCTATATTAATGATCGAAACTATTTAGGAAACTTTTATCAAATCAATATTATCTTTAAAATTAATCAGAATTATGTTTGAGATACCAAATTTGTAATGTAACCATTTTAAAATTATATTGATGAAGCACAACCACAAATTAAAAAGAAAATAAGTTGAATTAATTGACCAGTTCCGTTATTCAACAACGAAAATTCAATTCGAAGAAAGTAACCTCTGTGAGGATGATCGGGGAATCCAGCCGGCGGACTAACTGCAAGAAATCAAAAAATAGCAGAAAACAAAAGGACAGAATCAGTAAAAGAAGAAACAAACAAGAAAAAACGAATTCATCAATAACAAAGAAAAACAACACAATCAGATTGCGATTGCGATTACCGGAAAAATCATCGAGCATCAGAAATGGATCCAGATTCTTCAAATCGCTCCTGAAAAACAGAGACGAGAAACAAAATCAGCGGCGGAGAAGACGAAGAGGAACCGGTAATAAAATAAGAAGAAATAAAAAGAAAGAAGAAGGAAAGAGACCTTCCGATGCCTCGACGAACAACGGCGCCATCGCCTTCGTGCTGGAGTTTAGCGAGAACCTTCTTGATGACGGAGCGAGGTCTGTCAAAGGCGGGGGAAGAGTGATCGGAAGTGGACATGGTGGCGGAAATGGCGGTGGTGGGGATAATCGAAAATCTAGGGGAAAGAATGGCGGGGAGTTTGAAAATGAGGGAAACAGAAGATTTCATAAACAGAGCAGGAAATTGCGATGAGAGGATTGGAGCTTCGGGATTTCCTTTATATATGAATTCGGGGGTTTGTTGGGGTTCTGACACACAGGCGACGCATAGGGATTGAAAGCGTGGGAAAATTAGGACGTGGGGACACATTTCTTTTTCCCTTTTTTTTTTTTTTATTATTTTATTTATTTATTTCATTTTGAACCAATCATAAATATGATGTCATCATCGAATCATGATGACGGAGAGCTTTTTATTTTTATTTTTTATTTTTTAATTATAAATTCACATAAAATTTCATATTATCCACTTCACTCCGTTACATATATAGCCTTTTAACAGATTTCACTCCGTTACATATATAGCCTTTTAACAGATTTCTGTTTTATTTAGTTATAGCAGTTTTAAATATATTTTCAAATTCTAACGAAAATTAAATAAATAGAAACTGAAAAAATAAAATTATAAAAAATAATAATAATAATAAGGATGAGGTAACGATGACGTCATGCTGGCAATTTAATTGTCAATTCACGGAGAATCTTCTTCTTCTTTTTCTTTTCTTAAATGGATATGATAGGACCATACCTTATTCATATGAATTTTGCTTTTTAAAGACTTTCACTGTCAAACTATATATTATAAATTTTGTATATAAAACTTTGTTATAAACAAAATTCAACGTCACGCCTTATGTCTAACAATTTAGATCAAGTTCATAATTGTAACGTCTTAGGCTCAGAATCGAACCAGAGTTTTGAATCTAGATTCGACACTTAATGGTCCGGATATTCCCGTATATTTGTTGCTTCTATGTTATCTACTTGTCTAAACGTGCATCGAATAGGGAAGAGTAACCTCACAAAGCAACACGAGTTCTTTCAGCCCACCACTCGTAGATATTGTCCGCTTTGACCCATTATGTATCGAATAGGGAGAGGTTTCTACACCCTTATAAATAATATATGTTCCTCTCTCTAACCGATGTGGGATCTCACATTATTCTCATTTAAACGATATATCGTTTCTTTACTCAGTATTACAATAATATCTTAACTTGTTAATTATGAATAAATTAATCATTAATACGACAACTTATTCGTAGCTGTACGTTACGAAATTTTTAATGGACATTATAAATAATTTGACTCTATTGGGATAAGATTAGATAAACTTGAATCCATTACATTTCATCTCATTTATGGGCACATTTGTTAATAAAATTTGTCCCACTAATTGGAAATTGACCTATTTGTTTCACTATACCACCTAACAATTTGCTTAATTAATAACGCTTCTTCAAATTTTCGCAATGTCCTCGTGTCTATTCATGATGCCGTCGCCCTTAAAATAAGTACGTCTTTAATTGAAAAATGATGTGGCACATACTTGAGTATAACAGAATATTTGGTTTATTTTTGGAATTGGAGTTGGCAATTTCCTTTTTTATTTTGTTAATTTATTACGAATAAATATCCACAAAAAAAAAACATATTTATTAAAAAAAATGACATCCCAACACCTAAGCATTGCGTTTGCTTCCAATTTATATAAATATTTATACTTATCAAAACGTTGACTTTTTTTGTTTTTTTTTAATTATTAAATTGTAATATTAATAATTTAGTAAAATAAAATACCACTAAAAAAGAGTAAAAATATTTAATTATTTAATCGAGAGTGTTTATTGGATGTATAATTTGATTACATTAAAAAAAAAAACATTGTATTTTCCATGATATTATAGAAAATATCATATTGTTAAAAATTTATTAAAATATATTTTTTTTAAATCACACATTTTTTAAAAGAAAATTGGAATTTTTAAAAATCTCTAAAATGTGAAAAACAACAAGATTATTTAATTAATATGAGAGATTCTCTAAAATTTCGTATCATATATATATATATATATATATAATATTTAAATTATTGGTGATTAATTAATGCACAAAACATTAAAATAATATTTTATTATGAGATATGGAAATGATTTTTAAAATTATAGTAAATATTTTAAAAACTAATGTAATAAAAAGAAATGGGTAAAATATTAAGAAAATAATAGTTTGAATGTTTGACTATCAAATATGGTTCTTGTAACTGTTCTAATTTGGCGTCTAGATCCAGATGTGAACCAAACGCCGCCGTTTCGAGTTGTCATCCATGTTCCCCAAATTAATGGGGTGCCTTACAAAGACTAAAATAATTTGACAAAATTAAAAAATTATTATTATTAAAATTATATTTTTATTTAATTTTAATGTCTTTTTTGTCTTTTTCCTTATAATAATTAATTAGTAAACATAAAATGGTTAGTTTTAAGTTGTCTCGATTCAATGAATAGTATTTGGAATTAGGGCGGCACACGGGTTGGACGAGAATTTTTTTGGGTAAATTAGAAATTAAGAATTTATGGGATTGGTGACCGTACTAGCCTGAATAGGATTCACGACTCGTCCCAATACAACTTTCAAATTTTTAATTGAATTAGATTTAATTGTCGAATTGTAAATTTTTTAAATTATTTTAAAAAATTCTATTTATACGGTATATATTACATTAATAATTAAAACATCGTAAAATTCAATTATTTATAATAAAATTTTAATTAAAAAATAAATATGAGTTTTTTATCCCTTTTTTTATTATTATTAAATCAGATATATATTTTCATAAAAGTACAAATAATAATAGGAAGACCATTTAAAGTTAAGTCAAATTGTTATAAAGTAATATACTTCCTAAAAAAAATATACACACATATATGTGGGCTATTACGGCGGCCCATTAATGAAGGAGCTAATGCGGCAAAGCTGGCCCATGAAAGCCCATTTCAAATATACTTTCTTCATGCAAAAATTTAGGAATTATTTTTATTACTATTTTTAAAAAACATCAAAATTTTAGGTTTTATTTATTTATATAAAAAAATTGTGTCAATTTCTTTCTTTTCGTTATTTCAAAATTTTTGAAGTAGCTTAGGAGTATAACCGATTCAAATACTGGCAAATTTATATACCAAAATTGGCTGATACCATTACAAACCGACCAAAGTGTCATTTAAAACAAACTTAAAACGTCAGATAATCTAACCTAATCCAACTCAACAAGTCTACTTCCTCGATATGCCACTTATTTATTCCCACTCGAGAATATGAAATTGAAGCATAAAAATTGATACACGAATACTCGAGAGTCGTACCTTAGCACGATGTTTTTTTAAGGATATATTTTAGTGAAATGTTGGAAAAGAGAAAGATTTGGTATTTTTGTTGTAAGGATCCAATAAGTTTGTCAACTTCTAGAAGCAAAGGTGGTGATTCCACCATAAGGTATAGTGGGGAATTGAAGAGCTTAATGTGTTTGAATTTATTTAGATTTTTATTATTTGAGAATTAAAAAATAAATAATAAATAAAAAAGGTCAAACACTTTAGAAGTGGAGAAAGGCCATGCTTCGATCTTTAAAAAATGTCTTTTTGGGAGAGATTGAAAGAATGGTTGAGTTTCAACCTTACCAACTCCATGTATAAGTGCTAGAGAATATAGTAAAATACTCGTTATTTTATTTTTTTAATTTAAGAGATGATACAGATGTTCGCCGTTTAACTCGTTGAGCTAAAGATCTGCCTTGAATGGGATGAAGAATCTGTGACAAAAAAAGTCGAGAGCGGAAAGAGATTCTTTTCCGTTAGTTAATGTGACATCCCATATCGGTTGGAGAGGAGAACGAAGCATTATTTATAACGGTGTAGAAACCTCTCTCTAGTAGTCACGTTCTAAAATCGTGAGGTTGATGACAATACGTAACGGGCTACCAAAACAGACAATATCTACTAGTGGTGACTTTGGACTGTTACAAATGGTATCAGAGCTAGACATTAAGCAGTGTGCATTCCTATAAGTATATATTTATTTTTTAAATGAATAAATAAATAGAATATACATATTTTTATGTGTATTAATTTGAATTAAATAATGCAAAACCTAACTTAATTCTAACGGGCCGGCCCAAATAAAAAAGAAACTTGTGAGGCTGATTTGGGCCAGGATTTTGGGCTACGGGCTATTGAACTGGGCTTTCCAGCCCATTCCTACAAGCCCACTAAAAAGATCCAAATTTCCTTTATATAAGAGTTGTTGCTGCATTCCACTTCTAAAACCCTAGTCTTCCATCAAGCTACGTCAATGGGGGTTTATAAAAATCAGACGAGGTTTCTGAAGCTTCTCTTCGAAACCCTAGGAAGAAGCCCCCAGCTCAAAGAGAAACCCCGATGTCACCCACAGTCGCGATACTCATAATGCTAGCGATGGTACTGACAACAACGTTCTGGAGGCATTTCCGGTGGAGCTATTGAGCTTTTTTCTCCTTGAGTGTCAGGCTGCTAACGATGTGTGGATTTCTTCGCTCGAGTTAGAATCCGTGAAAGGTACTTCACTAATCTCGATCGCATTTCCTTTGTTTGTGTGTCAGGTATAAGCTTTCTTTGGTTTATCTGCATTATCGCATGATCGTTTAACTAATTATGAGTCATTTACTTTTTACTTAGTTCCTGTTTTGATCTCCATGATCTCATAACTAAATATGAGCAAAGTTCAAGCAATGATCTGGCTTCTTGGTTTCTGAATATATATGAAGTAACGATATTCAGCAATATGTGTTTTTAATTTTCATGGCTCTATTATTTTTTGGTAACTGTTTGTCTTGGCCAATTACTGGTTCATAAGATTGTTCATGTGTTTTTACTTTATCGGGTTTGGGAAATGATGACATTCTACAGAACTTTCAAAGGCAGCTGCTATGCTGAACTTGTTATTTGCACGTCAGTCTGATCCCTTGTTGTAAATGATATGTTTTTCATTTCCAAGCTTTTAACTGTCAAAATCGTTCATGTTTTTGTGATGAGAAATGTGTTGTGAATCCATGCTAGTGTTGTACTTTATCGGGTTTGGGAAATGACGACAAGCTACAGAAAACGTTCAGAGGCAGCTGCTATGCTGAACTTATTATTTGCACGTCAGTCTGATCCCTTGTTAACGTTATAATTCTCATTTCCATGTTTCTAAATGTTAAGACTTGTCGTTGGCTTGTTACTTTTATTGTTTTTTGAACATTCACAATGAAAAAGATATTTATCCTTTCATGTTTTCTTATTTTCTTAGCTCCAAAATCTTTTATGTTTTGGAATGAGAAATGTGTTGTGCATCCAAGCGACTATTTTACTTCATTGAGTTTGGGAAATGATGACAAGCTACAGTATACTTTCAGAGGCATTTGCTATGCTGAACTTGTTATTTGCACGTCAGTCTGATCCCTTGTTGTTAATCTTATATTTCTCGTTTCCAAGCTTCTAAATCTTAAGACTTGTAGCTACTTTGCTCCTCCTACCCGGAAAAGTTACATGCCACTTAAGCCATTTGGTTGACCTTTGCTTGTATGACATATAGGGTTGCTTTCAATTTCTCTCCATCTTGTTTTCACAAAATCTCTCTGCTCTGCCTTGTAAAACCTTCTCCTCAAGTTGAGGCTAGAGACTCGAGCATACGTTGCTCGGCCGTAGGTGCAAATACAAATTCGCTTGACTCGCTTAGTTTTTAATACAAACTCTCCTACTCAATTTTTTCAGTTTTAGTTATTATTATTATTTTTCTAGTTGAAATTTGGGAAATGAAGACAAAATTGAAATGTTCAACCGAGATAGATACTATGCTGAACTATATTGCACGTCAGTCTGATCCCAAATATTGTTCCTTTTATCCAAATTGACGATGGTCATTCTCTTAAATCCTCAAAGATCTTGGCCAAACTCCATTCATCAAACGAAACTACATTTCATGGAATGCCTCCGCTTGCATTGATATCCAAATTCATTTCTTTGAAATTCCTCATTTTGAAGTCTGTTTGATTGTATTTCTCCTTCTCCCTTCCAACAGTTCGTATTAGGTTCTTTGGCTGTACCAATTTTTGGCAGCTTTAGGGATATATATTACCTGCAAACAACCAGAGATTGGGTTTCTTGATCCTACAGCTGCTATATGAAATTTTCATATATTCATTTTTGTTTGTTGTGTCCATAGTTATATTCATTTTTGTAATCTAAGCATATCATAATGATAATTTTTAGAGGTTTTTCTATTATTTAATGCGCATTAAGAATAAGAAAATGAAAGTTAAATGTTCATCATTGTTCATTATTGGTTGAGTGAGTGTGTTACTTAGTTTGATGGACCCATATCAGCCTCATTCATCAGTGAATATGTGGCCTAAACCTTGACCCGAGTCCTAGCCCTAAACCTATACCCTTATTCTGTAATTTTTTTAAAACCTGGTTTTAACTGTTCCTTCGATTTTGAAAATTAAATAGTCTAATTATTTACCATTAAAAATTATATAATTTTATGAAATTTATTTATTTAAAGATAATAATCGAGTGATTCCTAAATAAAATAAACAAATCTAAAAGTATATTATTTATAATAGAACTTTATAATTATCTACAATTAAATAATCTAATGAATTAGAAATAATTTAAGGTACTTGATTTATTTTTTCTTCTCAAATAGCTTGTTCAGACATTTTATAATTACGAGAAAGTGAGTTTTATGAGGTCTTAAATTAAAGCAAAGCATGTGGATGTCACCAAAGGGAGACGTGGGTTAATAAGGTCTTCAATAATTACATTAAAAAAAAATCATAAACCAACAAATAATAACATATTATTTGATTTTTACCCCTAATATTTACCTTCACTTTCTTTTTTTTTTAAAAAAAAAAATTAATTTAAATTTAATTAAATGGTATTTAAACTTGAATTAGTATCTATTAATATTCTAATTTTTCATAAATAAATTAATTTGGACCATTGATCATATTTTGTTTTAAAATTGTTTATGCATGAATTTTTTTTTTTTGTTTTAAAGGTAATTTTATTATTGAAGTTGAAAATAACAACATATTATTTGATTTTGTTTAGACTCTTCTGTTTGGCTTGAATGAACTCAAGAAAGTCCACCAAGTTGGTGTTAGAGGAACCCTTATGTTCATCCATAACTGCAGCTCTCATCTTGTCCTTAACAATGGCGGCCTTGTTCCTCATCTCTTCCCCTTCCCCACCTTCCCCCATCACCATTTCTATCACCTCCTTCACTCTTCCTCTCTTAATCTCACTCTCCTTCCCCCTCGTCAGCTCCACTCCAATCCCCATTTCCTCCACCAGCATCTTTGAATTGTACGCCTGCTCTGCTGCCATCGGCCACCCGATCACCGGCACTCCCTGGCTCAAGCTTTCCACCGTCGAATTCCACCCACAATGGCTCAAAAACGCTCCCACCGATTCGTGCGCTAGAATCTCCAACTGGGGTGCCCAATTTCTGATCACCAATCCCCGATTCGTCTCCTTCATTCTATCCTCGAAATGCTCAGGCAGCCATTGATGAGCTCTGAACTCTGCTTTCATGTCGTGTCCCGATGGCGGCCTCACCACCCATATGAATGCACTCCCGCTTTCCTCCAATCCGTAAGCCAGTTCCATCATCTGGCTCTCGGTAATTGTGTTCTGGGATCCGAAGGAAATGTACAGAACTGAATTTTTCCGGTGGGAATTCAACCAATTCATGCAAGTTTCTAAACCCACGCCGGAATCTTTCTCTTTCCCCCACCGGCGACGGCCGCCAGAGCTGGTTTGGAGGAGAAGCGGGCCAATTGCCCAGACGGGCAATTTTATGTAATCCCTCAAATGCTTCAATCCGAATGACTCGACTTCTTCGACGGTGTTACAGAGCCACCCATCTGAGCTCAAAGAATAGGAGATTTGCGGCCGGAAATATCTGGACCAGGAATCGGTGCCGTCGGCGGCGAGTAAGAACCGGTGGAGCTGGGAGCGGTGGAAACGGCAATTTTCTGGGAACCCCGGGAGAGAAAACTCATCGCTGGTGGATGACCGGTGGGGGAGATTCAACCAGAGAGAGATGTAAGCCAGAGTTCCATAAGCACCGCATGTAGTGAAACTAAAAACTGGAATGTTGAAGCTTCTGGCGACGGCCACCGACCAACCTAAGAACACGTCGGAGATTATACACAGCGGCGGGCTACCGTCCTTCTGGACGAGGTCGGAGATCAGTTCCCGAAGGGGAAGTTCGAGGGCGGTGGAGGAATGAAACAGGGTGTCGATTTGATTTAAAGGGAGATTCTCAGTACTCTCGGTGTTTGGCGGAAGGCCATGGTCGGAGCTCGAGTAGTAGAGCTCGGCGAGGCGGATTTTGGAGTCGGCGGCGGCGGAGCGGAGGTATTGGATGTTGGAGGGGGTGCAGGCGATGGTGATGGTGAAAACAGAGGATTTCCGGTGGATGAAATTAGCGAGCTCGAGGAAGGGGATGAGATGGCCGTGGGCCATGAAGGGTAGCATGAGAATATGGTACTCACCGGAGTTTGTTACAGAGCCCATTATTCCGTCGGCCGGCGGGACTCAGCTTTGGAAGGTGGAGTTTAGAATGGGGGCTTTATTTATAGCGTAGTTGCGCGGCAATTTACTTAATAATTTGTCCGCAAAAGTCAACAATCTCAAGACTGGCCTTAATCAACTTGTTTTATCACTTTTTACGAAATTCCACTTCGAAAGAATTAAAAATACCTATACCAAAACGGTACGACCTCATTTTTAGTGACTCAATTAATAGGATTTAAATACTGAAATCCTTATTCGATTTTTGCCTTTTAGAACCCCTTTTTGTTTCTGACTGTTAGATCTTTCAATGCACTGTTTATCCTTTCTGAAATCTTATTCAATTCTTGCCTTTTAGAACTCCTTTTTGTTTCTTTCTGACTGTTGATCTTTCAATGCACTGTTATATCCTTTCTGAAATCTTATTCAATTCTTGCCTTTTAGAACCCCCTTTTCTGTTTCCCTTTGACTGTTGGATTTTTCAATGCACTGTTATATCCTTTCTGAAATCTTGATACCTGAATGAGGGACCCCTGCGATGCCTGGGGCCCGAACCTTCCTTTATACATTGGAAGTTTTTGAAGGGACTCTGACTTATTGTTTGCACCAGGGATCGTCAATTGCCATAATGATCGGAGTAAGCCAAAGTCAGACCAACCTACGCCTTTTCCTCACCGTCACTGCCATCTCACGACTTAGATTTGAACCAATTAAGCTACTTTCTCTTTAGTGTGAATATAAAAAATGCTGAAAGAATTGTGTTGGTCTTTAGGGATAGTTTTCACTATAAATCGATAAGTAAGTAACATGATTCTGTCACGAAAGATGCACATGTAAAATCTGGATTATCCCAATCAATTTATATCCTTTTATGTAGGAGAGTTGTCCTCTGCCACAACTTTGGGCACAGCCCACGTGAAAGCACTCTCCAATCTTTTTTGTTGGATGTCATTATTCATTCGCCAACATCTCCCTATCATTTTCCACCCTCTTTTATTCCTTCATGTTCGAATTTTCAATTAATGTACTCTCAATTCTTTTAAGACTATATTTTCATTTTATTTTAAATTTTGAATTCCCATTTGACATAGATATAGTCGATGAACTTACAAAATTAAGGTTGTGAACATTTTTTTTTTAAGGGTTGACAAGTTGAAGATCAACTACCGACTTATTTTCATCTCTTTCTCACAATAGCTCTCGTCCCTTCGCTTGACTTGTTCTCTCTCACTCACCTCTCTTCCGACTTGTTCTCTCTCACTCACCTCTCTTCCTCACTTTCGACTTTCAATTAGACATGATTGATAGTCTCTCTATTGCAATCATTTTTTTCTCACTATCACTTGATCATGATTTCTCTCTCACGTTGTCAAAGCACTATGTTGTTTCACACGCCGATCACATCCTTTCTCAACCCTTGTACCACACACACTCATATTATACTATATGATACTCCTAAAGCAAAATCTATATATGACCGATCATGTTTATCAAAAATAACTCAAAATTAAATTTTAGTCTATTTAAGATGGTTTATTTTTCTTTTCATGAACTTGGTAAGTACAATAATTAAGCCAACCTATAACATTTAAAGAATGTAACGTATATAGACTAAATTACAAATTTAATCAACAAACTTTGTAGTTTAATTTTAATTGACTTTTGAATTTTTAAAATTATAAATTTAATCCTTAAATTTTAATTTTTTTAAAAAATTCACACGAAAAAATTCGTGTATTTCTAATACATCAATAAGTTTTAAAAAATATGCTAAAATTTCCATAAAATATGATAAATCAATTGAGAAAAAGCTATATATATATATATATATATATATTTTTTTTTTTTTTTTTTAATTTCTTTCCTTTTTTTTTTTTTTTCCTATCCTTTTTATAAATTTTATTTGAAAAGGGATTTTGATGGTCTAATAAGAAGAAAAAGAAGAGACCAGGGAGATGTGATCACCTGTGTAATAATTCCAAGAACTCCCAATGAAACTTTGGCAGCGTTGAGATGTTGATCGCCATCAACAAGCCTCCCAACTTTGGCGTCCCCATCTTGGGGTCCTCTGGGAGTGTGACCTTTGAATATCTACAACGTAATCATTTGAATATCATTTTTTTATTTCATAAAAGAGAAGTTTATGAAATAAAAAATGATAAACAAATAATAAAATAATATAAAAGAAACTATAATAAAATAAGGCTGGAGTCGAACCTATGCCGAGCATTCCGAGTGACAACGAATAACCACTCTAACAAACTCATGAATATGCAAGATGTCTTACTATATTTTATAAGATTTTGTTTGGTTGGACTCAACTCAAAGTTGTCTGATAAACTCGAAATCCGAAATCCACGCTGAATCTATTCGGAATCAAAAAATTAACTTAACCCAACCTGAAGTGCTAATCTAACCTAACCCAACCCCTACAATTTGGGTTGAGTCGGTTCGGGATGTCAAGTTGTCGGGTATAATATAAAGGTATTTGGAGAATTCCCACATTTGACACCCCCAAAAAAAGTTATGAACTTCAACTGCTACAAACAGGGAGAAGAAAATCACAACAGATGCTATATTGTTCCTTAAATTAATTGATTCACTGTGAGTGCTACTAAGTATGTTAAGACACTATCTAAATTAGGCTCTCTTTTTCTCTCTTTTCTTCTCCCACTATAAATTTATTATTTGTTATGTAACAAAATATTCAATGCTGATATACAATGGAAGTCTTAGAGTTTAAGTTGTGGCTACCAGAGTACTCTTTTGCCTCATCCATTTTGTGGCAGACCATTTTTCGCCTCCCAGTACTTCACAACCTCCATGAATGCTATTAGGATCCGACTGTCCATCCAATCCCTGAAGCATTCCCATGAAGAGGAAATGGTTAGAAAATACAACAGCTACCTCTGCATCCACATTCATATCAATATGGAGTCTAACTGAGCAAATTAGCATTTTCTTTCTTGAATTCCGAATACTGGATTTTACTCATTTGGTTCTTGTGATTTGAGCTTCGTTTCAATAGGGTCGCATTGTGATTTTTGTTTCGTTTCAATTTAGTCTTTAAATTCTAAAAGTTTTAACTTAGTCCCTAGAGTTTGGTCAAATCTCACAGATTGTCCCTATACCTACTTAAAATCCACTCATTTACCTCTATTTGTTAGGTAGCTATATAAAGTCTCACATGATCCCCTAATGTAACTAGAAAACATTAACTCATTTTCACGTATTCAATATCGTAACGACTTGTCATAGTAAACTACAATTAAGCCCAGAAACAAAATTGAAACTTTTAAGCTATAAAAAGACTAAATTGAAACTAAGCTCATATTTGAAGCCTCACTTCTTCCACCATGCTCATGACCCTCCCCAAGCCCAACTCCAAGAGAACAAAAATTTTAGGTTATTTGGTTCTCAACTTAAAGCTTCGACCCAATATTTTGGAGGTATCTCCTCCAAGCATCCCGGTTACTTATTAGGACACCACTTGGGAGTTGATCACATGGTTTAGTATTCAAAATCAATAGTCTTTCACATTTTTTATTCCATTTTGAGAGGCAAAAGATACATACCATGCTCCAGAAAAGCACTGCATCTCCTTTGACTGGTTTAACTGACAACCCTGGGACGGTTTTCCCACCACAACTACACATGCCAGAACCAGCCTGAGGAAACATACAAAAGGAAAGTTCAGGATACAACATTCCAAAAAAATGGATACGACCGAGAAAAACAAATTTTAAAAGGGGAAAAGCAGACATTGTTTTGTCTACTGATAGCTGTATTCATGTCCGAAAGGGAAAACAAATTTAAAAGTTAAATTATTATGATCTCATAGTAGGCCACTTCGCTAACTTAGGGTGGCCTTCCTCGTCACAGATAGGCTACTCTACTGGGAAAAGTTGATTATTGCAAATGTACATTAGTTTCTAAACCACAGTTACCCATGACTTGATTAAATACGATGAAATTTTTTTACCTTGTTTATTGTTGTTATTAGTATTATATATTAGTGAATATCTTGATTAACTTGTGTGCACCTCAACTATTTTCACAAAACTACCACCTCAACTATTTTCACAAAACTACCACCTAACCGTATAATTTTGATTGAGAGAACTCATAGGCATTACATCTTAAGTGGGGTAGCTATCACGTCTTGAACTCATTCCTCCTTTACATTGACTCACGTTGACCATATGCCAACATTTTTCTAATTCTTTTCAAATTGTAACCAAAATTTAAAAAATATGAAACCTTTTTGTTTTCAAAGTTGAGTAAAAAAATTTTAAAAAGTTTTAAATAACGGAAATGTAAATAGACAACTTTTAACCATATAACCTCAATGATGCCATTGCACCAACACCACGCCCCAGGAATTTTTTTTTATTAAATGTGTCCCTTCCATACCCATACCTAACATTTAACAAAATGTTGCATCGTAACGCCTATGCCATGTCCATCATTAATTAAATATTGGTTGGATTTTATAAACATCCTAACGCGCTATAAAGTATCAACTCCCAATTGGTTGGTTTTTATAAACAGGGTAAGAAGACGAACGCACTATACCAACGAAATTGAATTCAGCAAGGAAAATGGTAAATACCTTCGGAAAGTAGGTTTCTCCACCTTCAACGTTATCAGTTAGATACATAAGCATGGTTGCAATTCGCTGACCACCACGCTTCAAGTTAAACTGTAAAAAGAACACATGGAAGAAACGGTACTTGCTATCAGTAAAAGCACGAGTCTAGCATGCTTAAAATAGAAATGAGAATAACTAAATAACAGAATCTTACAGTATCAGAAAAGTAGTCATGGTGGGGTTTGTAAAATTGATTCTTCTCGTACCTGTACTGCTTGAAATGTTAGCCTTAAAACTGTAAGTATAAACCAATCTTCGTGTTCACATGCATCTTCACAGAAACAAAATTATACCCATACCTTAATACTTGAATGAGCTCTCCATTTTCAATTGGTATTTGAGAATAGACAGAAATTCTTTTTTCTATTGCCTGATTTCACAGATTCCAAAACAGAGGAAGTCCATCACCAACCAGTGTTTTAAAAGGTGCACCTAGGTGCAAATCTCATGTGAAGCGCCTCGCTTCGAAAAACCAAGACGTTAGTAAAAAGGTGCGGCCAAGGTGCGCGCCTTCCATGAAGCCCCTGAGGCGAACGCTCTGCTCGTCTCTAAATGCTTATTGAATTAATTTTTATTTATATATTTTTTTAAGTAAAGTGGTGGTTTATTATTAAAAAAATTATAAAAACCTTAAATGCATGGGCTTCTCTCCCTCTCTCCCTCTCTCCCAGCCTCTCAATCTCCTTTCCCTCTTATTTCTCATTCGGATGTTTCTCCCTCTCCAATTCGCTCCTCACTTGATTCCCCTCTCTCCATATTACTCTCTGTTTTTAGTTAGTATCTCTTGCTCTATCTAACTATGTGCATTTTCATCAGTTATAGTCATTTAGTCTAAGATTCTAATATGAGATAATAATTTGATCTACTAAATTGGTTATTAGTAATTGGTTAGAGGACCGAGGACAGTCTAAGAAAAGATATGACACGAAAATATGCTCGTTTGAATAATGTTGAAGATATAAATGCATTAGTTTGTGGTTTTAGTTCAAACGTAACAAAATGAGGGGTTTATATAATGAAGCAACATCTTCTCGGTGGTTATAGAAATGCAACATGTAAACAATGTCTGGTTCATGTGAAGGAAGAAATTAAAGTATATAAGTCGAAGAAAAAGGAGGTCAAAGAACAAAGAAATTTACCCAAGATGCAGCTGTCATTGAAGCCAATAACAAGCGAACCATGTGGAATAATCTATAGTTTACAGAACTATATACTGAATTTCTTAGCGTGCCAGTATATTATACTGTAAATGGGTCGTACATGATCATTTTTGTTTTCTTTAAATCAAAATTTTGTCTGAAACAAGTAGAATATATTGGAAAATTAATCTGAATGAATAACTTTAACTGAATTGAAATTCTTTCCCATAAATTCTGTTGACATTTGAGCACATCTATATGCTTATCCATTACTTAAAGCATCAAAATATGCCTACAATTTCTTTGAAATTAATACCTGGACCATTGGATAATTTCTCTCTTGATGACTTAAAAACATTCCAGAGCTCGTTCTGAAATCACTCTTAATTCCCTGAAATTCCACCAAGGGAGAGACCGTACATAAATAAAGGTTAACTGGAAGGAAACCCTTTTTTATAAGGAAAAAAATATAGACCATTCGACCAAAAGAGCATCATTAGGGGGATCCTCATAGACAAATAATAATAATAATAATAATAATACTGTTTAAAAAAGAAAGAAGCTAAACTATCAATCAAAATCCTGAATAATAAATCTGTCGAGAGAGTAAATTCAGGCAACGAAAAAAGTTACAATAAAGTGTTAAAAAATTATTAAAGAAAAATAACATTAAAAAAAACAGCATTGGCCCGTCAATACAAATATACCATCTGATATTTTATATAGTCATAAGTATCAGAATAAATTTGCAACAATACACACTTTATCCAAACAAAGCAATTAACTCGCGTGGAGAGTGTCTTGGGTTTCAGGAAAAACCAATATAAGAAAGAAAAAAAAAGTACTCCAAAAATCTTTAAAAAAAAACAGTATAATCCCATAGTTAATTCATTATATTTTCAGGAAGTAGGATCTAATTCAACAATTAAAATTGTTAGATATGTTGAGAGCAAGAATAGTGAATGGAAAACAAGTAATAAGCAAGAGAAAACCATTACCTGTTATAAGAGATAAAATTACTTGGCTATCATGCTTGAAACTAATAGAAAGGTGATCATAATACATACCTTCCCTGTTTTTGTATCCACAACAGTGGAAATTTCAAGGCGAGGAAGTGCAATTGCCTTAAGGTAGTCGCACTCCTGTACAAAGAATCAATTAGTCAAAGCAGAAGTTATAGTGTACCTCTATCCAAAATGTAGGATTCTTGAACCAGAAGTAGAATTGATACAATTCCATTAGAAGTGAGATTTATAATGCATAGCCAAAAACTAAAAAAGAACGATACAATTAGAAATTATTACTGAGATCATTTCTGAAAGGATATCTCCTTGTTAAAAAGTTTGAGGGTAAGAGCCTATCCCTCACCACGATACCCAGCTGTGGTGGCTGGATGATAAGTTGAGGAGGTCTGCAAGTAAGTCTGCCTCTCTTCAGACAAATATCTGGAGGTTACCAACTTCTCCAGAAAGAAAATATCAAATGTGACTTAAATATAGAATATTTTCGACAGATTTTTTTTATAAGAGATTTATGGAGGAACTTCATTAAAGAACAGAAAAGAAGACAGCCTACGGAGGGTGACCATTAATTTCAGAAAAAAAAAAGTGCATTTCTTTTAAGAAAAATTGATTTCAAATGCTAAAGCTCTTTCCTTAACAAATCCCCCCACCCCACCCCAAAAAAAAAAAAAAATAACACAAAAGCTATCACCTACGAGGCGGTGTGCTGGTGGGGGTCCCACATTGATTGGAGAAAGAAACGAGTGCCAATAAGGACACTGAGCCCTGAAGGATGGTGGATTGTGATATCCCACATTGGTTGGGGAAGAGAATGAAACACCCTTTATAAGGGTGTGGAAACCTTTCCCTAGCAGACGTGTTGTAAAAACCTTGAGGGGAAGCCCAAAAAAGACAATATCTGCTAGCGGTGGGCTTGGGTCGTTATAGACATTTAGTAAGTTCAAAGTATGTTTATCTTTGATGAAGATTCTGTTAGGAAAAAAATCTGTAGTAAATTGACGCATCCAGCAAAAGAGATTTACCATATTGACCAGATAATGCTCACCTCTGAGCTCAAAAAATTATGCAACACAATGATTCGTGGTGACCAGCTTACTACTTCTGGTTTAACCTATTCCACAAAGTAAAATGGAAAACATTCTTTTAGGAAAAGAAAGGAAACTTCAAATGATAATAAGTAAGACTCGCCTAAAGATTAATCCCCTAAACACACATACGTAGGATAAAAAAAAAACTTCACTTAAATGTTAGAAAAGACTGTCCATCAATGTAAAAGAGCAGGCCTGGTAGTAGAAATGACATGATACAAGTACATCATGTTATAAGCAATATGTTGAACACAAAATTTCTTGATTAGTTGCATATCCTTCATTGACTATCTCTGTCGTTCTCAAGAAATATTTTCACAAATTGATATACACATGTTTTTCAACAAGAAACAAAAATTTTCATTGATGTGATGAAAAGAGACCATTGAAATCCACATGTAATGAGATATGAAACATTGTTTCAATTATTTTCATTAGGATTTTAGTAAATTGACCATTTTCGTCCGCATAAAATATGTCCAATTGGAGAGTCAAGCGATATCCACCTTCAAGAACCATTTCCTCCCTTTTTTTCCTTGTGTGCGTGTATTGTAGGGGGGGCATTTTCAAATTATCTAGTATCCTATCTTCTTTTGAAAAAAGAAGCCGTCCAAAGATCCCAAAGATCCTAAAATCAAAAAATAAGGGTAATCATAAACAGAAAAATAGAGATAAGCATACATAGCCAAGACGAAGAATTTCTGCTTCTTTATCGTTAATCCAATTAGGAAGGCCTGAAAATAAGGGAAAAGAGAATCGATAAGACAAATCAAAATAAGTCAGTGTGAAAAACATGCTGATTATTAGACAATTTCAATATATTTTTCTAAATCTCACTTTTAGATTTATTTTTGACAAACTCTATTTGAACTTGCTCTGATTCAAACCTTAATACCAACATTTAATCTTTCCAAAACAAGAATTATATTTTTTGTGTGTTTGTGTGGATAAGAAGTAAGTGTTTCAAATTATGAAACAAATTTTGAAAGAGAGGATGAGGAATACAACCAACCAAAGGAGTTCATTTCAAAATAATAATAATAAATGAGGTTCTCCAAAAGGTCTGGTCTGAATAAAAATATCAATTACGAACAAAAAAAATATGTATGTTCCTTATATGAAAACATAATTTTTAATAAACATGCAGGAGGAAACTTTCAGTTATAATTGTGGATAAAATATAGCTAGGCTAAAATTCTCGGAAACAGAACAAAATAATTCAAGCATTAAGAAATTTTGTCTTCATCATATGAAATAAACTGACGTTGAGAACACTTCTATAGTAAAAACATATATGAATGCTTAATATGGTAAAATTTTGTGTTAAAGATGAGCCTATAATAATCTTTCGAACCTTGAAGGAATTGACGTTGGCCATCATACTGAGTTTTATGTAACCTTCCAGCTGATAAAAACTCAGTGCCTGGAAAGACATGGTTCATAAAAAAATCAATAATTTTGAAAACACTAAATAAATCATGCCTAGTAAACATATAGGATGTAGCCAGCACCCTGCAAATGCCATGCTGTCAGGAAAGATAGATTATATTGTTTTGCATAGATGCGTCAAGAGCACTTGGCTAAATGAAGAGTCGACGTCATACAGTCATTCTTCCATATAAATACCAGGAAGTCATAAGTTTTATGGTGTGCAAACAATGTTTCAAATCCTAGTGAGATCCATACATCTACTTGAGAGAAATAAATTGAATATTATCTGTGCAAGAAACATGGTTTCTTTGCTTCACTATTTTTCAAATTGATCCATCATGAGCGCAGACACTCAGGATAAACTTCTATGTGCTCCAAACTTGGTCCATTTAAAAAAAAGTAGTCAAGTTCCACAAAAGAACTGTTACAATAAGTATTTACCATTACAACTGATTCTTTTTCCTCTTTTTCATGGAACTCGACCTTATAACATCTTTAAGCCTGTGGGGCAGGCTTTAGAAAGTGAATTCTCTTAAGGCTTCCAATCGGAAATATTTTTATATCGTACTTTTCTTTTCTTTTTTATGGGATATAAAGTACGTTCCTCTTCAATTTGTTAGAACCAAAATAAGTTAACTCAGACTACGTATGGACTGAAGCCTAGTGCTATTTCCGACATTTTATAGATTGTTTTATTAATAAATGTTTCCTGTTTCAAATTAAAATATATAGAGAAAAAATGAGTAGATATGATAACGGGGCTTCTTCAGAAACATCCTAGTGAATGAAAATGCAATATTCTAAATTATCCAAATCTAACCCCAAAAAGTGATTTCGCCATCCAAATATCGGATACTTTCGTTATAATTTCAAAATTTTCCATCCTAGAAGACAAAGAAACCAAGAAGAGTACCGATAGAGTCTTCCAGCCTTCTTATAAATGCTAATTGAAACAAAGCACCTGCAATTACCATTGAAGAAAGCACCTTATCAGTCAGAACTGTTCATAGCTCTTTAGAAATACATGATCACAATTAAGACACCAAATTTGATCAAATGCGCACAAAAAATCCAGCCAAGTCGTACGAAGACACATCTTATAACGGTTCAATTCAAAGCAAACACAGAAGCTGCAATTCCTTTTTTTTATAGAAAAAAGAAAAACGATAATGTTTTCCTTTCCATTACACAAAATCTATGTAAATAGTAAATTTGCAGAAAACGAAAACGAAAGGAACATTTACAAGTCGTCCTCCTCCGTGCAGGTGCCAAACTCTGATAGAACAGGTGACAGATCACAAATGTACGATTAGAAAGAAACAGAAAATGAGACGTGATTCGCTAATGATTGAAAAAATCCCTCACTCCTCTAAAGTAACCTAGCCAGCTCAAAGAATAATTTCTCGCAACAGCTCCTCCGGAAGGAATAAGATTTACAACACAGCTCCGAGATTTAACTTACATTGACAGACACCTCAACAAAGCGCAAAGCCTCTTATCACTCCAGTTCATCCAAACACAACAACACACAAGAACGGAGTCCAAAATCATCATAAACATCCATTTGGACATCGAATGAGCAAATAGCAAGCCATACGAACGCCGATGCATCAAATCATCAGAAAACAACAGAAAAAACGAAAATACGTACCGATGATCATGCCGACGGTGACGAAGGTTAGGAGACCAAAGACAATCCTCATGAGACCGGAGGCCATGACAGCCGAAGCGATACTTTGAGTCGGCGGGAAAACTATCAGGAAATCAGGAGCGATAGGAGAAGCCGTTGATGTGAGAAGTAATCAGCTCAGGGACCCAATGAAAAACCGGTTTGCACTACAGTGGATTGATTCCCTTGAGCATTCCTTGTTCTTTTTTCTTTCTTCTTTGGCGTTAACTTTGATTTCTTTTGTAACGCCGAAGAAATGGTCATTTGTTTGTGTTGGGAATAAAGTTCCCCTTTTTTACTATAATTATGCTAATATTTGTTTTTTTTTTTCCTTCAATATTTTGACATTAATAACAATAAACCAAATAGTAAATTAGCATGATAATACTTTTAGATATTTGGTTCGAAAAAAAAATAAAAATAAAAATAAAATCATATCCCACAATTGACGGGTATTTATAGAGAGGCTTCGTTGCATATCTGACTATTTAATCCGTAATTTTAGAAGGCTTTAAATTTTTTCGAGCATTGAACTATACTTTCTTCGAGAAAGCTTAAACAGCTTAGAAATAGAGAGGGAGGGCTCGTATGCCTAGTGTCACAATCGCACTTTTGATGACAGCGGACTTGCGATTGTGCGACACTCACTTTTCAACGACAAGTGAGCTAAGCCAATTCGTTCTTGCGTTGCCTACGGGCAAGCGACGTATGCTCGAGCCTCTGGCCTCGGTTTTAAGAGAAGGTTTTAGAAAACAAGGGCAAAGAGAGATTTTTGAAAAAAACGTAATATAAGCAAGAAAGCAAGAGAGAAATAACAACGGCTCATAGTATATAACCTTAGGTAGGGAGAAGTTGAAACTAGTCGTATCCCCCTATAGTACATTCTGAGGCATTTCATGTCTAACAGACCTAAACGTGATATTTCTGAAACGTCATATTTCCTAAAAATACAAAAGTAAAACACTAGAATATGAAAAGACGTAAAGGGTTGAGCTTGTCATGGGCAACACGCCTTGGACGAGCATGACCGCGACACCTAGCGTGTTGGAAGGTATGTGTAACCGCCCAAACCCACCGCTAGTTGATATTGTTCTTTTTGGGCTCGTTAAGTACTATTGTTAGTCTCACGAGTTTTAAACATGTCTACTATGGAGAAGTTTCCACACTATTATAAAAAATAATTAGTTTCCCTCTCCAGCTAACACTTGATCTCATGTAATAGCCTAAACCCACCGTTAACAGGTATTGTTTGCTTTGACCCGTTACATATAGTCGTCAGCCTCATAGTTTTAAAACGCGTGTATTTGAGGAGGTTTCCATACATAACAACCAGTGTCAGATTCCATTGTTATTGTTACCATTGATACTAACCTAAACCTAAAGTTAGGTGAATGATTAATTATGTGTCTGACTAAAGCTCAAAATTTATCTATTACCTTAATTAGATAAGTCCAACAACTTAAATTGACCATGCTCGTGTCAAAGTAAGGTTAAATTATAAACTTAATTATCTTAATTTAATTAACCTAAAATCAATTTTGATTAATTTAATATCCTTACATTATAATAATCTATACTAAACATTTATTTGAATTAAAAATGAATTTGCTTTAATAAAAACCGAACTGGGTCGGGTCGCCTTTACACCTTTCGAACTGGTCCTAGGGTTTTAGAGCATCTGCATCCTCTCCGGGGTTTAGAGAGAGAAAGACCTACCTCTCTCCCGCTCTCTTGATCGCTACATTTCTCTGATTTTCAGAAATCTACGTCGCCTCAATCAATCTCCACTCACAATTGTTTTCGACGTGCCATTACCGTTCTAAATTCTTCCACTGTCGTGTTGCTTGGTTCATTTCCGTTTCCTGTAGGTGATAATATACAATGGCTGGCCTTGTCCCTCCGACCACCGCTGCGGCTGCTGCTACGGCGACCGCCCTGCCTGTTCCACCGAAGAAGACAGAGGACGAGAAAGTGGATTACCTGAATCTCCCATGTCCTATCCCCTACGAGGAGATTCACCGTGAAGCTTTCAGTAAGTTTCTGTTCTTTAAAACTGTTGCGTTTGTGACTGAGTTGAGTTTTTTGATGTTTATGATTTTTTATGACAGTGTCTTTGAAGCCGGAGCTGTTTGAAGGAATGCGATTTGATTTCACCAAAGGACTCAATCAAAAGTTCTCCCTCAGCCACAGGTAGTTTTGCTTTTTAGTCATGTGTTTCTTCGGATCTTTTCCCTGCGTCCTGTCCTCTGGGTCACATCGTGAATTGACTTATCTGATAACTATGCGTTGTCCACCATCGACGACTGATCAGCGTGTCTATGGGACCAATGGAGATTCCTGCTCAATCCGCTGAGACCATCAAAATCCCTACTGCCAACTACGAGTTTGGTGCTAACTTTATAGACCCGAAGGTAACCCCACTGACTGAAATTTCGTTGTTTCGTTGTTTCGTTGTTATATTGAGCTACAACGTGATGGCATTGGTAACTGATATGTAGTTGATGCTTTTTGGGAGGATACTCACCGACGGAAGGCTCAATGCAAGAGTGAAGTGCGATTTATCTGACAATCTCACTTTGAAGGCCAATGCACAGGTAATCTGATGGTTTCTTCTATCAGTTTATCATCAGGTGCTGTCATACTTCTCTTCTCATTCGATTTTATTTGCTGATATCATCCTCTCTTTTTTCTGTCAGCTGACAAATGAGCCACATATGTCACATGGGATGGTCAACTTCGATTATAAGGTTATCAAGTCTTAGAAAATTTACGTTCTTACACATTCTTATTTCCACCGTGATGTGATATATTTGTTACGAATATGACCTATATGCTATAGTTATTACTCTAGCCCATCAAAGTGTAGCATTTTTTCTTAGCAATCATGTTTGACGCTGAACTGAGTTGAGAACAATGTCTTTGAAAAGATACTATTGCCTTCCTTTATTTGTTAGTTGGGTTTCTTATGTTTGCTGGCCTTCCCTTCTTCTAAAAATCCACAAATATATTTACACCGTAAATGTCAGCTGACTAATAACGTCAGCTATTATTCTATGGTGTTTAATTTGGTTGTTAGGTCTCCATTGAAGACTTGGATTTTTTCTCTTAAACCTTAACCTATACAAATTTAGTTCCGGCTCTTGTATAAAGAATGTCTTATGAAAAATGGAATCTATCAATGTGCGTGCTAGGCTTCTTAACCTTAATGGCTGCATTGTAAATCTTTTGGATTTAAACTACTGGCCTCTGGTTCATGACACCTTGAGATTGTCTACCTTAAATATTAAGCACCCTACGGTTTCTAACTCAAGCATATGAGAGATATATAGTAGTTCTAGTGTCAGGTTCGGTAATATTTTGGGGAGGGTGGTGGCAGTAAGGGAATTATGGATTGGAAAACGCCAGATTTCTCTATTAGATATTTCTATTTTAAGAATTTGATTGCCATCATGAGTTACCCGTTCTCATAATTTATGTTTTACCCTTATTGTTAAACAGTTAAAATTTTGATAAAAAATATCAATACCTTTGTATTTGTCAATTGGAATTATTTTTGAATCAGGGCAGAGACTTCAGAACCCAGTTTCAATTAGGCAATGGTGCCTTATTTGGAGCAAGTTACATTCAGGTACAATTCTGAATGGTTCTAATTATGATGTTGGCTTGTCCTTTTATAGTTGCTCAAGCATTCTTGATAGCCTTGTACAAGTTTGGGAGTTTAGTTTTTATTGGGAAATTTTTTGAAACCTTTGCATAAAATTTTATTAAATTGGAGATTCTCGTTTAATAGTTTCTCTTTTGGACTTACGTTATTCTGCATTTTGAGGGTATACATTTTTTTTTTGACAACTGGACTACCTTTTGCTCGTCATCCTTTTTCTCTCCCCTTTTGCTAGTGAATGTACTTGATAAGGACACATTTCCTTCTCCAGCCGCTGGAATTGTATTTTAGATAATGACAATCTCACACTTGCTCGCTATACATGTACAGGTGTTACAGGCCTCTGTATTTATGATCTGATTTTGCTTGTTCTTCTGGCACTCTGCTTCTAAAAACCTTGATCCTTTTGTCTCCTTGGTTTCTATTTTGTCATAACTATAAATTTCTCCTTTTCAAAAACAAAATGCCCGTTTCATTTTTCCCTAAATGCCTTGAGGTAGTGGAATGTGTCCCCAAACCCCAGATGTTCATGTTACACTGCCTCTATAGGAATAGAGGTGGAGATGGGGTGAAAGTCTAGAAATTTTTGCATATAGGATGCCTGACAATTTGAGCAATTTCTGTAGCTTTGCTCATGTTTTAACTCTGTCATCATTCTCTTCTCTGCTGTGTGGCATAAAGAGACCGTGCTGATAATAATCTTTTTTTTTTTTTTTTTTTTTTTTTTTTTGCAGAGTGTATCTTCCCATCTTTCATTGGGCGGTGAAGTCTTTTGGGCTGGTCAGCATAGAAAGTCCGGTATTGGTTATGCTGCAAGATACAACACAGAGAAGATGGTATAGTAACTGTCATCATCAGTTGACTTATTTAATTTTCTACCTTCTATTACCATGGAAAATGAAATTTCTAGGTTGGCTTCACTTTATAATAACTTAATTTCCATCTACTGGCTATATGTAGATAATTAAAATTGTGAAGTTAACATAAGCTTTAAGTTTATGATATTATATTGGATTTGTTTAGTGTTGTTTGATGAATTTCTTATTTTAATCAGTTATCATTAATTAAATAAATTCTCTTATAAACTTTTAATAAGTTGTTTATGATATATACTGTGTGCACATAAATTCTTGAACTTTTCATGGAAATAACTTCATAATGACAGACTGGCTCAAATAGTTAGGCATTATTTTCTCACTTTGTTGGTCATAAGTTTGATTCTCAATGTAAAATATTATTAGAATAGCATAAATGAATAATGTTGAAATATATATAGCTTGTTTCCAAAAATCATTATCCACCATCTCCCTTGAGATATCATAGAAGATATTGGGTTTCTTTGTTCTTAGTGAATTTATGCCAGAAAAGTTGTGCCACTCTAATATTCTCTTGTTTTCTTTTCCAAAAAAATAAAAAATTGTACTTGTTGATTGTGGCCAGATTCTGTGGAAATTTCTTGGGTTAATGAAAATTCTAATCCGAGGAAGAATAAGAGTTTGACCTTGATGATCCATCGTCATGTTCAATTTTTAAATCTGCAGGTTGCCACTGGACAAATTGCCAGCACGGGTATGGTGGCTCTGAGCTACGTTCAAAAAGTGTCTGAGAAGGTAAGTAAATTGTGTCAACGCATTTCTGCTGTCTCGAAACAATAAACATTTGATCAATAACCAAATAACACATAACAAAGGGCAAAATAACCTCCTAGCAAGCCAACACTGCACAATGAAGAGAATGGTAAAAGAGGCAGAACCATCAAACTTTGTAATTTATTTTTCATTATATCTTATATCATTTTTTATTCCTTATTTTAGGTTTCATTGGCATCTGATTTCACGTATAACTACATGTCAAGAGATGTAATATCCAGTCTTGGCTATGACTACATTCTTCGACAGGTAGCTTCTGTTTTGTGAATGTTCTATAACGCCAAATATATGTTATCAACAATCCATTCCTATACTACTGTTTAATTTTTCAAGGAGAACATGATTGGAGGGATTGAAGATTTTGTGTGGTAATCAGAAGGTTTATTTACACTTGGCTGCTATATAGTATTGTTGTGAGGATGATATAATGGTTGAAAATATGTAGAGCTAATCTAGAGAGAAATGGAATGGAGAGTGTGGTTAAAAAATGGCGATGTAAACTAAAAATGTTGCTTCTGGGGTAATCCTAGAAGAGCTGATTTTTGGCAACAAGCCCTAATACTATTCACCAATCTTGCTTTAAACCCTTAATGCTCAAGAATATGACAGAGTGAGCTAGGAAAATGGAGAAATTTTTGTCTAATCGATGGGGGGTCATTTTACTGCAGACTAGTCTGATGGTCATTTTACTGTAAACCCTTGTTGCTCCAGTTTTATCGACTATCATATTACTGAAGATGGGTAAATGTTGTGGTTGTTACAGTGCCGTCTTAGAGGGAAGATTGATTCCAATGGCTGTGTAGCTGCTTTCCTTGAAGAGCGACTAAATATGGGTGTTAATTTCATTCTTTCCGCAGAGGTACCTATAAGTTGCATAGTTATTATTTTTATTTTATTTTTTATTTTTTGCCTCTTAACAAAACATCAAGAATTTCTTCAAAACTTTTACCCGATGCTTTGCTTATTTCTTGACAATTTATTACATTTGTTAAAAACACTTTTTGAGTTTCTAGTTAAATTTCAAAAGCTTCCCCCTCAATTTTGAAGTTCTGGTTTGAATTTTAGAAACATTCTATGGAATTAGATATAAGAGAACTAAAAATTCACGAGGGAAACAAGTCGCTTTTTTAGAAACAGGAAACTGAAAAACAGAAGGTGACTAACGACTATCAAGCAGGCAGGCACCTTTTAACTTATATTGTTCACATGGCTGAATCGGTTCTTAACTGTGACATGTAATGCAGATTGATCACAGGAAGAAAGACTACAAATTTGGATTTGGTTTGACAGTAGGAGAATAGATTGGCAAGAGTGAGCAAGTCGTTATCGTGTCCCCAATGCTGTGGTAGAAACATAGTGGAATTCCTTCCTTGCATGATTTTTCCTGGTGTTGAATTCTCAGTTCCCTTAGTTAATTGTTGTTCAGCACATTATTTTGAGCAGAATCTAACTGCTGTTGCAGTTTCTAGAGGCCATATCTGTCTCCCCTTATCAAAATTTTCTTTATCAATTAATAATTTTGTTATTCACCCGAGGGCTAGACAACGAGATGACAAAAATAGTGTCGACTTCGAAATCTTATGCAGCTTTCGATTTGTTTATCGTTTCATTTTTGGTTGGTTTTTAACCTTATTGATACATAGACAAGAGCTGCTAATCTTGTCTTTGCTCATTTTGATGTTTGTGGAAATTGATATGTAAGAAATATCATGCTGTGATCGAGTGGATATATAAAAAGGGAAGAAATAGTTTCATCCCTTCCCTTTGCTTTATGATACAAAGTTCTTCAAAGAAGTGTCCTTGTTCGTTGATTTTTCTTTTATTTATAGAAATACTACCATGGAGTAATATATATATATATATATATATATATCTATTTTGTTCGCTAAATTGTATACTTTTTATTGTTTTTTTTTAATTACGAAGTTTTATATTATTTGAATTCAATGGGGGGAGGGGGTTATATTTTATTTTATAATGGTAACGGCTTAGATCCACCGCTAGCAAATATTGTCCTCTTTGGGCTTTTTCTTTCAGGCTTCCCCCTCAAGGCTTTAAAACGCGTCTTCTAGGGAAAGGTTTCCACACACCTTTTAAACGGTGATTTGTTCTCCTCCCCATCCAATGTGGGACATCACAATCCACCCCCTTTGGGGCTTAGCGTCCTCGCTGATACTCTTTCCTTCCTTCAATCGACATGAGACTGTCCCCAAATCCACCCCTTTGGGGCCCAGCGTCCTTATTGGCACACCGCCTCGTGTCTACCCCCTTTGGGGAATAGCGAGAAGGCTGGCACATCGTTCGGTGTCTAACTCTGATATTATTTGTAACGGCCTAGATCCACCGCTAGCAAATATTGTCATCTTTGGGCTTTTCCTTTTGGGCTTCTCCTCAAGGCTTTAAAACGCGTCTTCTAGGAAAGGTTTCTATGCACCCTTATAAACGGTGATTTGTTCCCCTCCCCAACCACATCACAATAATTTTCTTTTTTTTTTTTTTTTTTTTTTTTGTAAATTACGGTCTTTTGGGTAAAAAGTGTAAATTTTTTTTAGGAAATGGCTAAAATATGTAAATTGGGTTAAGTTTTGTCAATTGATTATGAAATATGAAAAATTTCTACAAAAAAAATCAATTTTTTTAAAAAAAATTCCCAATTCATCTTTTAATATTTAACGCTGAGACAAAATATTAACTTCTTGAGATTGAAAGTAAATACTAAAAAGACAGAAATAATCAAGTAATCCATCATCACATCAAGTCTCCAAATTATATCAAAATAAAATCAATGGCTTATTATGAATCTAATTTTATTTTATTCAATTATTTTTTTGTGTCGGTGCGGCATTTCTGTGGGTCCCTTGTCCAGCCTGGAAATTCGAACTAGGAACCTCCAATCGGACGGTCTATATTCACCGCTCCCTCAGTAACTTCTTCTAGAGCTAAAACAAAAAATGGCTTCAATCAATGGCGTCTACAAGCTGAAAAAGACTCCCGATCTAACCCCTTTTAACGATTCTTCCTTCTCCTTTGTCTTCTTTTGTTCATTTGCAAGTTAAGGACAGCACCCTCTCTCTAATCAGCCCAATCGCGGCCATTTCAGGTAAGTTGAAAGCTCATTCTTCTCTCATGGAAATCTTGTTAAATCTGTTTGTAATTCATGTTTGTTGTGCTTTCTTGGTTTGTAGTGTGAGAGGCGAAAATGGCTGTGAATTGCTCTCTTCTGGTGATACTGGCGCTGGTTGTAATGGCGTCGGTAGTGAGTGGAGATGAACCTTCGATTAAGCCGAAGGTTAAGATTGTTAAGGGGAAGAAGCTTTGTGATAGAGGATGGGAGTGTACCTGGTCTTCTTATTGTTGCAATTTGACCATTACTGACTACTTCGAGACCTATCAATTTGAGAATCTCTTCTCGAAGCGTAATTCGCCGGTGGCCCATGCCGTCGGGTTCTGGGACTTCCATTCCTTCATTCTGGCTGCTGCTCAGTTCGAGCCGCTCGGATTTGGAACCACTGGGGATAAGAAGATGCAGATGAAAGAGATTGCTGCTTTCTTGGGGCATGTCGGCTCTAAGACCTCTTGTAAGTAATGGCTGATTTTTGTGAAATTTCTGTGCTGAATTGGGTGTTGATTATGATGAAATGGTGGTTGTAGGTGGTGATGGAGTGGTCACAGGAGGGCCACTTGCTTGGGGTCTTTGTTTCAATAAGGAGATGAGTCCTAGCCAGGATTATTGTGATGACTACTTCAAGCTTACCTATCCTTGTGCTCCTGGTGCTCAATATTATGGCCGTGGTGCTCTGCCCATTTTCTGGTTTGAAGTTTTCTATCCCCATTTCCTTTTTCCAGTGGATTTTGTTTTGTATGTTTGGTTTTTTCTTTGGTTTATATCTGTGTTCCTTGTTTATACTCAAATTGCAATTCTCTATAGCATGTGGGTATGGAGATTTGAACCTTCAACCCTGAATCTAAGGTGCCTAGCTGAAAAAAGAGCTAATGCCTCTTTTTTGTTTATATTTAGATTAGGAACTAATCTGATATGTTGTTGGTTAATTATAGAGAAGTATGAACATGGTTTAGAATTGTTTAGAGTCTCTGTGTAACAGTTCAAGCCCACCGCTAGTAAACATTGTTTTCTTTAGGCTTTCCTTTTCGGACTTCCCCTCATGGTTTTTAAAATGTGTCTGCTAGGAAGAGGTTTCCGCACCCCTTTTGGGGCCAACGTCCTTGTTGGCACTCGTTTCTTTCTTCAATTGATGTGGGACCCTCCAATCCACTCCCCTTCGAGGCCTAGCGTGCCACCTCATGTCCATCTCCCCTAGGAGCTCAG